GGGTGTTTTGGGGCCATTTCTCCATTGTGATGCCCCATGATCTCACTGGGAATCCCAAATTTATGGTGCCTCATGAGCATTCCAGGGTTCCTTCAGCATTCTGGCTTTTCAGGAGCAGGGGATGGGGTTTGGAGAGAGGAGAAGGGAAATGAACTCATCCCCTCTCTTTGTTCTCAGCTTTTTGGGGGCTCGTTTGTGAAAAGATTCCTTGAAATCCCAACTGAGCTGATCGGGGCCATGGATTTCAACCTCACTGCTGGGGGAACTCGAGCTCAGGGAGCTCCTGGGGTGGGCACTTTGTGCTTCAGGACCCCAAGGAACTCCACCCCATCCCCATCCTTGGCTTTTCCCGTGGATCTGCGGACTCAGCTGTTTGGAATTTCTGCCGGGGAGGTGGAGCCAATGATTCCAGAATATCTGAGGGTTCTGGGGCTGAACCTTCCCCTTCCCRTCCTTCACATCCTCCCTGCCCCTTCTGAGCTCCTGGGATAGGAACAGACCCTTCCCTCGTTACCCCTTCTGGTGCAACCCCCGAAAAACATGGAAAAAACCCTCAGAAATTGGAGAAAACAGGAAAACCAGAAATTGGAGAAAACAGGAAAAACAGAAATTGAAGAAAACAGGAAAAACAGAAACTGGGGAAATTAGCATTGAGAGCTGGGACAACAAACCGTTTCCTCGTTACCCCTTCTGGTGTAACCCACCAAGAACTTGGGAAAAAAAAACAGAAATTGGAGAAAACAGGAAAAACAGAAATTTGAGGGTTGAGAACTGGGACAGCAGGCCCTTCCCCTATTCCCTCTTCTGATGTAACCCACCAAAAACTTGGGAAAAACAGAAATTGGAGAAATGAGCATCGAGAGCTGCGCCATCAACCCCTTCCCTCGTTATCCCTACTGGTGTAACCCACCAAAAACTTGGGAAAAAACCTAGAAATTGGAGAAAACAGGAAAACCAGCAATTTGAGGGTTGAGAACTGGGACAAAAGACCTTTTCCTCGTTCTCCCTTCTGATGTAATCAACCAAAAACTTGAAAAAAAGAAGAAACTGGAAAAATCAGGGTGAGAGCTGGGACAACAGACCCTTCTCTCATTCCCACTTCTGATGTAACCCACCAAAAACTTAGGAAAAAAACAGAAACTGGAGAAAACAGGGAAAACAGAAGTTGGAGAAAACAGGGAAAACAGAAATTGGAGAAATGAGCATCGAGAGCTACGCCATCAACCCCTTCCCTCGTTATCCCTTCTGATGTAACCCACCACAAACTTGGGAAAAAAGTAGAAATTGGAGAAATGAGGGTGAGAGCTGGGCCATCAGCCCCTTCCCCTCCTCCAGGGGGACACTCCTGGTGTCCCCAAACCCCCCGAGGCAGTGCCAGCCGTGCCCCCCGAGCCCACTGGGGCGGTACCTTTGTCCAGGACCGGCCCGAAGATGGCCAGGCTGTCATCGATGGTGGTGCAGTTCCAGCGGCGGCCCCGGAACTGGTGCTGGCACTCCTGGATGCCCAACTTCACCCCCTCGGCCACGCTGGGCATGATCTCGATGTAGTTGCGGCAGAAGCGGAGCTGCTTGGGGACGAGGCCGGGGATGGAACCGCACAGGATGGGCTGGGACCCCAGCGAGCTGTACTGCTGGCCCAGGGCCAGGGACCTGCGGGGACAGCGACAGCGACAGGGTCAGGGACAGGG